GACGTCCGTCTTTCTGGACTTTGTTTCCTGCAAGGCGATCACGTGGTAGTTAATGCGCCTTGCAGCTTCGGGAAGCGCATGAAGATCGGCGTTGGTGGAGACTGTCCTGGCTTTGTGGGTGCAGAGCATGAGACAATCTCCATGGCGAATCGTTGAGTGTCCTTTTGGTCCGAAATCCATGGCGTCCTGTGCGACCTGACACTGGTCTTGACGACATCCGACGCCGTAGATGTGATCCTGTGTGTAGGGCTTTTCTTCTTATTACATGCTGTTAGGGCAATGAATAGTCTCTCCAAACATTAGCAGTGCCTTGCCAGGGCCCTGCCATGCTTTCACCACAGGCAATCACTGACCTTCACGAGACATGTGCCACCTAGCGACTTGAATCTGCCAGACGGTGGCGCTTCTGGCATGACCTACTCTTAGCTGGGCATCCGGGAAACCGGAATCGTAGAACTCTTTCTCAGCATGGGAGACCCTGCTGGAGGATAAACCTCCGCTGTACTTCGCAGTTCGACACCCAGAGTCACCCCGCGCCACGATGAGGCGGTAGACCATCACGGCGTTATTTGCGTTCGGAAAAATAGGTGACTGCGCAAAAGTGGGAGTTGTGTACCGACTAAAGTATTTGAGCTGTAAAGTTTTGTATGTGGGAGAAACAAGAATGCATTTAGAGTTAAGAGCACTTGGCCTACAAAAGACGAAGAAACTTAAATTCACCACTGAGTAGGCATAATTTTGAAAGGCAAGATGGTAACGTTTTAACATAATGCACGATTTCTGGTATTTGAAATTGAGATTTCAGCAAATGTTAAGCGTGGATATCCGCCGGAATTACGGCCATGAATAACAGATATAAATGCTTATCAATATCTGGTGACTTCTGCCCTCTATTATCGTCATGCGAACTATCGCCGCACTTATGAACAGACCGGCATCCTGGTCATATTGTAATCCGCGACGTCTATGTATGCGGACCAACTGACGGAAGGGTGGAATGGTTGCTTCGATCTTGCTTACCAACATGGGCTTCATGTCGTGCGCCCTGGACAAGGTCTATGCTAGCCAGGTTGGAGGAGGTGTTTGGCGATATAGGTCGACAGATGCAGCGTTACAACTCTTTCCAAATCTTCGAGTGATGTAGTAGTTAAAACGTCGGTCAACAAATATTCCACCATACAATTGCCAGTGCGTAGTGAACACGCTATGCGAACTCACGATCCATGTCCAATCTAAAGAAGAAAGAGAGCAGTTATCTTAAGAGAGTTGAAAAATTCTTTGGTGTGGTTGTAGTTGTAGTTTTTCATAAACTAAAAAATTGTCGCGACATGTGCGACTTTTTCAAGGTTGTTAGTCACCGGCGCGAAGGGTCCAAAGTGCCGGTTC